TTAGCTCTCTATATAACATTTATAATTTTTTCAGTGTTTATATCAGTGTTTTATTTTATATTAATTTTAAAATAATGAATTTTATATCAATGTTTTTCTCGTTTTTAACGTGTATCCTTAACCAACATGTGAAAATACGGTAAGATTTATAATAGTATGTAAAAAGAAAAATGAAAAGAAATTATTCATTTTTTTTTTTTAAATTTATTTAGCGATAATCAATATCAAAATAATGGTAGTGATGAAGATGAAGATGAAAATCCCTTCCTCAATGAAAACTTTGAAGCCAATAGCGTGTATGAATATAATTCTGATGATGGAGAAATCTTGTAATTATATTAATCATGTTAATATAATCTTTTAATAAAGTGTACTTATTTATTTATTTTATTTTTAATAGTGATGATGGTATAGAACATGTATGGAACATGCTAAATCTCATGGATGCCGATCTATCTTACTGCTCGCAGCTAAATCTGAGCATGCGTAATATGATGGTTACAGAATTATGGCAAGAAATTATGTTGCATTTCGAGGAAATGAACTTGGAACAGACAGTAGGTCTTCTTCTGTTCCGTGGATCCAATTACATCGAATATGTAGATTGCGATATTGAAGGCGATGTTGGAATGATTTTAAGGGCCGAAAGTGTTGTAAGTATTGAAAATAACATTTAATTTATATTATTTCTGAAACAAATAATTGCATAGGCGTACTTATCTGCATCATCATCAGAAATGGAGATCATAGATGTGGTTATGGGTTATACACAAGCTGAAGTTTTACTTCAGCTTAAATTTGAAAATAAATTATTAGCTCGGGACGATGACGAAATAGAAGAATTTCATACTAAAGTTCGAAAGATAACCACAGTGTGGGGATTATCCTATGCGGTATCATATGGTGTACTAAGCAAATTGTTCAACTCATAATATAATATATATATATAAATATTTTAACTGAGGTATGATGGTACATTTAGCGAACGTAATTATTGAAAATATAGCAGTAGTATCACTGTATCAGTAATATATTATTATTTTATCAAATTCATGATGTTTTTTTTTTTTTTTGAAACTATGATATACCTATTTTTATTTTTACATATTTAGACTAAAATATATAATAAATAATTATAAACTGATTACTCAATGATTAAAAAAAAAAGAAAAATATTTACAATGTATTTCAATAAAAAATAAATAAACTTTATTATAAAAACAAACAGAGTAAAACATATATACAAATATTTTTACATATATAAAGTTATTTTACATGTACACACATCGCTCCCACCTCGACTCTAACCCGTTTTGAACAATATAGTCATACAAGACATTCTAAGCAAAGAAAAAAAATCTTGGTGATTTTAGTTGTAATTAAATTGGGTACATTTCTTTTCATTAGGAGATATTAACTAATCGATTTTCGACAATCAAACAAATATCAATTTTGAAATTCGTATACTGTGTTCAAGCTTCTCGACAAAAATCTAAAATCTCCGGTTTATACATGTTCTTTATCATTCCTATACAATTCGAAAATATTACAAAATAAATAATTTTAAAAACATAAATTGTATTAACTTACTCTAAACTATAATGTCCATAAGCTAAGGTATGGATTTTGTCCTCTAGAATAACTCTCTTATCATCAAAGTTATTGTAGGTTAATTTGTTCGATTTGATTGTCTTGAGCTGGTGTTTGAATGAGCGGATGGAGACATTTTGACGATAAACGTCTAAATCACTGTCATCGAACAGACACTTCTTATGGTCATTGAATGACATGTGGTTCTTTACCACATGCCCACGGATTCCCTTGGCTTTGATTTTTTCCGTTCCATTAAGCTTGTACGCATATGATTTTGCCCGTAACGCACAAAACTCTGTCATAACGAGTCC